GTCATAAGTGAACCTCTGCACGGTCTTCAGATGTCGCAACTTCGCAACGCCCTCACTGCCAGAGGAGATGTCACAGGGAAATGAAACTTGCAGGATCTAGTATCCATTATGAGTCCCACAACTTGTATATCTCGGATTTTTCCTAAAGGTCATATGAGGTCAGGTCATTTTCGTGACCTCACCATTATAAGTCAATGGGGAAAAATGAAAACTGCTATTCTGGCGCTGGGAACGATCTCCAACTATCTCAAGCACACAGAATCGTGATTTTATGCACTCCTTGCAAGGTTAGATGCGTCACTTTTGCAATGTTGACCTTGCCTGACGTCATTTATGACGTCATCAAGATCATATTAGTTTTTCGTCAATAACTCTTGATCAAATTGAGCTAGCGAGTCGGGAAAGCCACCAATGGACTTAGGAAGACCTGCCGAATCGAATGATATGCGACATGACCTCTTTCGACCAGCTTCGTGACCTGGGGGTGCTGACCTGACCTTGACCTGAGGTCAACACCCCAAGTTGACCTGACCCGGACAAAAAGTATATCATTCGACGCGCCTGAGCGAGACGAACACGATGCTGCCAAAATCGGCGCTCTGCGGCCGTTTTTTGCGAAGTTATTCACCAAAAACTGAACCGTACCTTGGGGCACTTGACCTGACCTCAGAGGTCACCGGTTGACCTAGGACCTTAAAATCGGGGTACCAATCTCTGCGTCTCGTAACGGCGCACACGCTCGTTTTTTCCGCGACGCGCTAGCTCCACCAGGGGCGAAACGGCGAGGGGGGGTCGTACCCGCCCCCCCCCCCCCCCCCCTCGGCCGGCGCGTATGTAGAAAACCAATAGGTCCGGCGAGGGTTAAATATAAGGTTGCATGAGTCTTTTTGGTCGAAAGGTTTGACGAAAAGTCCATTCAGGTTTGCTTGTTACAGCCGCTAGAAATATTTTTAACTCGGAACACTTGTCGTTTCCAAGGCCTTACTCCCTACATATATCGCGTGTTTGCATTTCACAACTTCACATTCTCAAAACTCACGCGGTCCTGCCTCGATAATATTTCCCGCGCGTACTTCCCATCTCACGACCGGTCTCTCTTCGCTCGGAGGTCAGCGATGTCGTCCTTTCACTCGCTTCCCCTGCTTTCCAGTGTATGGATGACGGCGAGCTGGACTCCTTGTCAACTGATGACGTCACGTGTCAGGAGTTCACCGACTGTGCAGTGTTCGACATCCCGCAGGTAGGTCGATCTCGATGACGTCACTGGGATGGACGCTCGCAATTGGTGGGTTGGGATTTGGGATGCAGTGGTTTGGCAGACGTCTTTTCGAAAATTGAAAAAGGTTTATGGTCTAAGTTCATCTATCCATCTATTGTTGCCGCTCCATCCGTCTTAGCTTGGTATTGGCTCTCTTCTCGAACTCTGCTAAGCATGTGGATAGCCGCATTAATGTTACACTATTGTCGAGTTACGTACACACGTGGGTTGTATTTATATAAGCGGACATCCGCCGCAATGTGATGTTTGTGACATGTGTTTATTTGTGTTTTCGTGACGTGTGATTGGCTCGATGTATTTTGAAGTTTGTCACCATGTGTGTTTCAGACGTGATGCAAGCTGTAAATAAAATGATAATGATCTTAAATAACCAGTCAGACGCTGGGTCTTAATTAGCCTAGAAAATGGCAAATTTTGTTTATAAGAGCTTCTAATCAAGATAAATGGCACATGCTGCGTGCTAGAATAACGCTGTTCAGCACTAAGCATGGAGGCCCAGTAAGAAAGTGTCCTAAATTTTCTGCTTTTCTCAGAGACTAAGGGCTTGAAAATGCAGGACTAACAATTGACGTGATCTTGAGCATTCCACAGAGAAAGTTAGATCGATCTTCGGACACGGTGTGTTAACAAATAAAACAAAATGTACTATGATTACCTGAACACACCTTTAGCTTTATCGTGCTTCCGTAGAGCTGTTTGCTTACGCAACGCCAATTCGAGAATGGCTTTCCAGCTGTAAATATTCGTTACGTCACATGAAACTTATTGACGTCATTTGGATAGCAATGATGCTTTCGACGCCAAATAATTGCGATTTTCTAGCCAGAGTTGTTGGGTACAGTCGTGTACAGGTTGATGGTCCCCTACTCTTTATCCACCGGGTTCCTATGGCTCAGCATTGGCAGCAGCCGCCTGGTACCGGTAGGCTGTGCCGCATGACCCGAGAGTGAAGCGGCACAGTCTACCCACGCTGTTTGACATCGGCTCGGGTCGCCGGGTGGAGCGCTTTGTAGACCAGCTGTCATATCAGACCAGCGCGGGGGAGGGGCTCGTCTCGGTGGTTGGCGTGGGCTGGGGAGTGGTGTGGGGCGTGTTGGTGGACCATGGGGGCTGGGCGGGTTGTGTGGTCACTTGCTGCATTGCACATTTTGCGTCGCTTAACAATTGCATTCCTGTTTTTGCAAAGCACAATGCACGGAAGACCCAGCGAATATAATTTACTTGTGCATTGTGCAAAACGTGATTTGGCACGGTATCGAGGCAACCATAGGTCTTGTGCCACATATATGCATGATATTTAGGCAATACGCTTATGAAAATGGTAGATTGATCGGATTGATCCTGGATGTCAATTCGTAGGCTAAATGTCGACATGTAATAAATGAACGAATGAATCAATCAATCAATCAATCAATCGACAATCGTCATGTAGATATAGAACCGTATAAATGGCTCGCAACCAATAAAATCAAACCAGATCCTAACTCGGAAAAGTAGCCGGAGCCCCGATGAGGCTCGAACCGGGACTCCACGTTGAAAGTTTTGCCAATGATCCATCATCATTCCACCAAGCTAGAGCGACCGGCGCCCGAAACCACAAAAAACATTCATTGACTTTGCTGCCGACCTCCCGGCCCCGCCGCCCGCCCGGCCAGACTTTGCCCCGGCCGTGGCCACCATCCGGTGTAGCTCAGCGTAGGAGTGGTAGACTGTCAAACTGATCGGTAGTGAGAGGCCCGGTTCGAAACCCTTCGCGTGCTGGATGTTTATTTCTGTGTCCGAGGCTATGCGATTAGTCCACTTTTCAGAAAGATTATTTGGTGACACGTCTGTTTTCTTTCTTTGCTGCAATTCATGAGGAGACCGTATGGACCCTTACCTGTCCTTCCGCACCCCACTTGGGAGATGGGTGTTTGAACCCCCCTGGGTTTTGTGAATATCTCTAAAGCGAATTTTTGAAGGGTGGATTACGATCTGTTCTATGCGACAAGTGACCACACACACCCAGCCCCAGGTCCGCTCACTCCCTCCCCACATCACCCCCGTCCCACACCACACTCCAGCCCGCCTCATCCACCGAGCCGAGCTAAATAGACAGGCCTGACCTTTACCTCCCCCCCCCCCCCCCTCCCCAGCCGGTGTAACGCAGCGTCCGGTCAAATCGCTCTACCAGGCGACCCGAGCCGGTGTCATACAGTGTGGGTAGGCTGTGCCGCTTCACTCTCGGGTCATGCGGTACAGCCTACCGGTACCAGGCGGCTGCCGCCAATGCTGAGCCATAGGAACCCGGTGGATAAAGAGTAGGGGACCATCAACCTGTACACGACTGTACCTACATCACAGAATATGGCCGCAGACTATCGTTTAAATATTTTTAGATGCCCGTATTTCCCTGTTCCTGTTAGCAGTAATTCGCGTGTCGCACAGTCCTGCTAAGGCGGACGTTCCCCACTGATTGCAATCGTATCCTTTTGCATTGTTGAACCGCTTGAATGAATCTTTGGTTGGGCATTTTGCGTCAGGATTACTTCGATGACATGCTATCAGCCCGGAGGTATGTGGATAAATGATGCTTTTCCCGAAAAAGGGTTACGGCTTTGTTGCCACTTGGCAGCTTACATTAGTAAACCTCTAACAAAATGCCGGCCGGCTACCTACTTAACTGGGAAAATGGCACTTTGCGGCACACCAGTTGGCAGAAATAAGACATTGGCGTTATCGGCCCTGATGTGCAGAATACGAAGCCGGTCTCAAATACGACATTTGTACGGATGACTTTGTTCCTGCCTCCTGGTGATTTCAAAGATCAGTTATATAATGTTAGGCAATATCGTTCAAGAATTTTTTTTGCTCATCGGAGCGAGACGAAGAGTGGGAAATTTATATCCAAAACACATCTGTTCATATTTTTAGGCTCAAGGAATTAGGACTATACACATTCAGCATATAACTCGCGGCTCGCGCTTTACCACGTATGCTTTGCTCCTCCTGCTTCCATTGTTGACCAAATGACTCATGTTTACCTAATGTTTGCTGACAGACTTGTTTGTCCTCTTTGTGTGCCACTGTTTGTGTTTTTGGCTGGGTGTGTTTGTGTGTATGTCTGCGCCAAGGCTTGTGTATATCGGAACGTGTCATCGGCCTATTCATTCACCGTGTCTCCAGGCGCGTTCTGGGCTCTTCGTATGTGCTGTGCCTCCCGTTGTCCTTTATTATCGTGTATGACTCCGTTTCTTTACTTCTTCTTTCTTTCTTGCTTCCTTTTTTCCTCTCATTTTTTTCTTCTTTCTTCCTTTCATTCTTGTTTTTCTTCCTACTCTGTGTGGTCTTCTTTTTCTCTCGTATCCTCTCTTGACATCTCTCCCTCCCTCTCCCTCCATTCCTCTCTCTCTCTCTCTCTCTCTCTCTCTCTCTCTCTCTCTCTCTCTCTCTCTCTCTCTCTCTCTCTCTCTCTCTCTCTCTCTCTCTCTCTCTCTCTCTCTCCCATCACTCACTCTCTCCCATTACTCACTCACCCTCCCCCTCTCTCCCCCAGGGCCGGCCGTCATACCTGTTCGTTCGTCCGGGCCCCACCACCAGCTCCCAGATCGGTAAGCCGCTGCGGGTTCAGTTCCAGACTGGCCCGGCCCCGCCGGAGTGGAGTATCTCCTCCGCTCCCTCTCTGGATGAAGAAGAGGCAGAATGTAGACGGAGGCAGTGGGGAGTGAATGTAACGGAAGGAGAAGAGGGGAGGGTGTCAGAAGAGCAGGGAGAGGAAGACGTGAGGGGAGAAGAGGAGGGTGGGAGACGCGAGGAGTTGGAGGATGAGGAATGGGGACAAGATGACGCTGCTGAGAATCCGGTGGAGCAGGAATTGGATCGAATGGAGGGCGAAGGAAGCATTGAGGATGGTAGAATCATTGACGACGGAGGACTTATCAAAGATAGAGGAAATATCAGCGACGGGGAAATCATGGACGATGGAGATAGTTCTGAGGGTGTAGAAAGGCGTCTGGAAGAAGAGGGAAGACGCCGCGGGGACTGGAATGGAAACGAGTCTGGGATGGGAAGAGAGGACGTCAGCGAGGAGACGGCAGTCACACAGCCCAAAGGGCCCGTCAGAGTGCGTGTGAAGACGACTGTGACTTTATACCGTCCACGTCAGACGTCACCGTCTTCGGGAGGTCTGACAGAACGACCTCAGCAGCGCCAGGATGAAACTGAATTACGTCAGGGAGAATTGGGGTGGAAAGGAGATAAGAAGTACGAACAGGAGTCGGAGAGGAAACAGCGACCTCAGAACTGGAAGGGTGATTATGAAGAAGACGGTGATGATAAGGATGATAATGATGAAGGCGATGATGACAAGATGCGGTCTGGTGCCGACGCGGTGAAGTCCAAAGACGCCGGCTCGTCTTCTGGTGGTCCTAGTACGGTTCCTTGCGGCAGGCTGTGCTCGGTAGTGGTCATGGTATCGTTAACCGCTGGACTCAAGGTTTTGCTCTGATGACTGCCGATGGTTGGTGGGGATTGGGGAATACTTTCCACAGATTCAACGTCATCTCATGGTGCGGACATTTTTTGGCTAGTGTGGAAATTTTGGTATTCTCATCATCTAAAAGATCCAATATTTTGATAATTGGCTATTCTATCATCTGCTTCACTCATAAAAAGCTGAGTGGATCTCTTATTCACAACTGGACAGTGATTTATTGACTTGTATGAGCTTTTCTACGTCTGATCAGAAGAAATTTTGGGCATTGTTTCTCGACGTACAGCCCTGTCCAGAATCCTGCCTAAAGTTATGTCTGGTGCCTTAATCACATTAACAGAGATCAAACGCCAAACTTGCATCTCCGCAAAAATATCGCCACCGCGGATAGATTTTGCAGTTTCACATTGGTGACTTTCTTTTCCGAAGATCACAGGCGACGTCATCAATTTCCTTTTTCCCCGGTATTCCTCCGATTTCATTAGGTGTAAGGTGGTGCATTTGCCAATCGGTTAATCGGTAGCTAGGTTGATAGTTCCGTTCCTAATCGGGCATCGTAAGATCATCGTACACCAAATCAGGGCGTTCTACGTGTTGCGATTCGGCTATATGTTGTAGCTTGCATTTGTTAGTTTTGTAGTGTGCTAAGCTGAAAGCTCAGAGTTTGTGTCGTTTTGGCAGCTATCTTGCCTAGATACTGCCCGGGGACGCTTTTCTGCAGGTTTCTTCCAAAGAGTCGTGTAGACATGTGGAGAGGGAATGACCTGCGGACAAGGGTGTGCTGAAGATGTTTTTGGTTTTTTATGTTTAATGTTTCATGTTTCCGTGATAGTCTTGCTGGAAAAGTATAATATGGGGCAGCCTTTCGGTAGTCGTATGCTGGGCTTAAACGGTTACGTTTCACGTATGAACATTTCATTTCCTCAATGTACCGTTATCAAGAAACTTTTCAGCACTCGTTCCCGTGATTTATATATCCACCATGTTTATGCATTTAAAGACATTAGGTTAAGTAATTCCAGACACGCTTGTTAGACTCGATGCTGCTTCCTGTGGTGTAACGCGACTTGTGTTAGCTCAATGTTATCGTTTCTTTAGAGTAAAGTGTTTGTTCACAAGAATCCCTGCGTTGTGGTGGTCATTTCTATGACCACACTCCGCCGTTCTATGAGAATCGGTGAAAGGGACCTTACGTTCCAGTATTACGATTTCTTATTTAGTTTTGAATCAACGAACTTCTTCGTTTGGTCGGTCTTTCAGTGACGAGTAAGGAATGTATGTGATATTGTATCGGGCACGTTGGTAGCACTCGAATTGAGTCGTTTGCTCACGATATTTGTGAGAGTTTCAGAGACCAGTGTTATTTTGGAATGGCGTGCCAATGACAATACGGTAGGGTTTGGGAATCAGAAATGTGATGAGACGTCTGGATTTGGAAAGAATGGTTTTGTTCGTTTTTTATTCAGTGATATCGGTTGTGCTAGCGATTGTTTTCTCATTCACATAAGACATGTAACATGACAAGCGACGGTGTTCCTACCAATGTATTATTGCGTTGATACTTTGCTCATTTTGTTACTCTTGGTGGAAGTTTAACTTCCATTTTTTACCTCTGCATCGCACTAAAAGGGCTAAGAGTTTGTGATTCTACTGTGCATTTCCTAAGCCAAGTGCCAGTATTCTGAGGCCATTGAATGTTTCGGCGCATTTGGCAGCTGCGAGGGAGTGTTGAATTGACTACCGACTGACATGTGATGTGGTAGGCTGTGGTTGGATTGTAGGAAGCTGGGTTTTGACCAGAGAGGAACCCGAACTGTTCCGTTTGTAACGAACAATGATGCGCGTTTGACAAATATGTCTTGATTGACGAGCTTTGATGAACATAATTTCTATCAATATTTGTACGGATTCTTGTATATGTGAACGCCCCGTAGTGTTCCTTAGTGACGTTCCTATGCTATGCTATGCTATGCTTGGCCTGCTTGTCGCTTTTGTAATAAACGTTTTTGATTACTTCAACTATGGAACACCTCCAAGCGAATTATTGAAAGCCACGTCTGCTAATTTTGTCAGCACATGGAATATTTTCTGGTTTTCAAACCTTATCAGTCACAAAAGGGTTACAAAGTAAACATTGTCATCATCATCATCACTGGATGGTTACTTGATGCTGCGTTACACTGCACCTTCTGTAGTCTGCAAGCATCAAGTTATGTATAACCTTAGATAACATGAATCATGTTATCTATTCATGTTAGATTCATGTTATCTATAGTATAACTTATCACTGGATAGGTCTCAAAATCTTTTTTCTTTACCAGCCCCACGACTGCTGGTTTTCCTGCAGCCCGTTGCCTGCCTTCAGGGGCAGGCAGAAGCGGAAGCCTCTTTTCTCAGAGACCCAGACTGAAACTCTTCGTTCGTGCACGGGACGTATGTTCAAACCGTCTTATGTTTAGCTTTATTTGTGTACGCATGCTTTACTTTCGTGTCTGTGTTTGTATGCATTCAGGTTTTACATGCATCCAGTCTCATGAATTGTCTTTATGGTCTCGTTGACATGAGAACATAAAAGCCACCAACTCGTTACAGATGACTTTTACACGCGTCGATGATTTGTGTTTCTCCCATTGCCAGGTGTGCCGCGTGTATTACAAACTCATCGTGACTCATTCATCTTTACAGAACCGTTTCGTCAATTTAAGAGGCGCTCATTGACCAATTCTCAGCATAAATGCTGTTTCTGTGAGAGTTTTAAGTACCTTCTGACTCGACTTTTGCCACAAGCACCGCAGTCCGCAGTTTGTTACTGGCGTCGGTAAAAGTGGATCGTGTTGCCGCTATTTCATCCCGTTATTATATACAAACGCAGGCGACTGTGGGAGACCGGACATAACACGTGGCCTTGAGTGCGAGACCAGAGCTTAGTAAGTAGATACACCGGGGCTCCACCCACAACACTGACTATCTTGGGCCACCGGCTGTCATGAATGAACCTTGTGTGGTATGCGCTCATGTTGCTGTCCGTTATAAGTCACAATTCGTGTGTGTTGAAGGGGAGATGCTGGGCGATTGTTATAGTGGACTGTACTTGTGGTATTTCCGGTTTAGGTACCGTTTCCGATTCTCGTCTTACCCATCCGTGTCAGGTGCTCATAATTCCTGTAGTGAATCACTGTTAACAGGTTATCAGTCTTGACCAACCATTGAACCGGTAATAACCAACCAGACAAATTGAGCACTTTCTAAAGTCTGACCCAGTGTACGGACCCGTCGCTAACCATATTTGGACAACTCTCAGCACTCAGCGAGCACCATTCATTGCTCTGGAACTAATCACCGCCAGTCACTATCAGTGGGAAGTGACGCCCTCCATTCACTCCCAACACTCGCGTCATCCGTTGCTGTGGGCGTCCCTGCAAGCCATCGCGCCCTCCGCGAACTTTGGGTCACCGAAAACCCATGGTGTGTCGTTTGACGTCAGCAGACCGCGACGACTTGCAATTGGCGCTTCCGGTTGTGGAGCTGTGACGTAGGCAGGGAGTAGAGCTGCAGGTTTTGTGGTAATTAGAGCGGCGGGATTGCAAGAGTGGGGAGGCGGTTTTGCAGCCAGCCGGAACGTGGATTTGCGGGACAGACAGACAGACAGTTTAGGTTGAGGCTGGCGTGGTGCGTGAGTGTTAGGAATTTGACGGCACGGTTCGTGGTTTCTAGTAAGGCGGAACGGTTTGATCGCAAAAACGAAATGTTTATGGAGAAATGCTCTATGCTTATGGTGATGGTCGAGCTCAGGTTTCGGTACCGATTTGGCGCTAACTGCTCAGACATTCCTTTTGACCCATACCTAAATGAATCGAGGAATGACTCAAAACTGAGTGGAGGATAGCTGATGAACGGATCGATGGACTGCAGCGAACCAGGGAACAGGAATTTAATTTGATCAAGTTCCGATTTATGGAGACAGCGTGAACAGATGATCAGTGATCTCCATATTTTTGCAGGTCTAGTTAGTGATAACTTTGACGCTGTAAAAATAGCAGCCAACGAATGTGGTCTGAGCCCGTTTTCTTTTGGCATCATTGATTGTAGCACGGTAATCTAAAGCTTCTCTCCTTGTGCTTATGATGTTCTCCTTGGGGATAATGTTTCGCACGACTTTCGTATCCGTATCGGAAACTGGCCATGAGGAAACGTTCACAAATCCTCGTCAAACGATTTCGATTGCTGCCAGCTGAGCCTTATTAACGACACGGATGTCTTGTCATCATCAGACGATTCAAATTGAACTCCCGGCGGCGCCGTGTTCGTTTACAGGTGCGCGCTGTCGGCCTCTGGAGGTGAACAGCGCGCAGCTCTGACCTCTGGGTGATTGCGGATCTCTCTCAGAATTCTGACTCACGTAATTAGCATTCAGCACACTACGCAAGACAGTTCTTTGAACCCACGCTGTCATAGGAGCGCAATTAACGCAACAACAGAAGTCCGTTTTGCCCGAAACGCCCTTGTCATTGCTCGTAATGAGGTAGGTGTCAACTTCGTAACACCTCGTACACACCTTGGGCTTGTAGATAATTAGATGCGGGTCTTTTCACTCCCGGTCCTACTTCCGACAGAAAACCGGCTACTCTAGGGGCCGCCCAGCCAACGTCAATCTCGTCGCGGGGACTTGGCGCGTGCCAAGGAAGCTGGCCTTCCGTCCGCAGAGATTTCCGCTCGGTTTTGCTGTATCCGACTGGCTACCGTCGGATACAGCATGGTCCATCCCAGCGCGCGCACATCCGACCGGGAGTGGGGGGAAGGGGAGGGGAGGAATTCCCAACCGGCCGCCGCGGCCGCTACTACCTCGACGCCAGCCGCCGCCAGAACACAGCTACCGCCGACCGGACGGGTCCAGGGCCAGTCGAGCTCCAGAGCTCAGTGAGAGAGGTTGTTTCGGTCCGGGACCATGGTCACCACAGCGCCAACTGCGTCGGTTGGAGTGGCGATTGGAGTGTTGGTGTTACTCTCCTGCATGCTAAGCTGTGCTGGAGGTCCTCCTGTCTCCAAGGTGCACTTCAGCAGAAGCTGGGCACCTGCTTCACCGCGTCGTCACTGGAGCCGACCCCACGCCGCGCCGGTTCGTCGCGTGCGCTGTAATCGCGCCTGTCAGCGGGAGCGGGCCAAGGCTCTGCCTCCGTGTCAGCAGACGGCGAGGGATGCCGGCCTTCGGTGCGGAGACGAGATGATACGCTACAGCTACGTCGCCGCATCCAACAGCTGCGTCCCCTTCCTCTACGGAGGGTGCCGAGGAAGTGCCAACAACTTTCCGACGTTCGAACAGTGTCGGGATACTTGTAAAACAGAGCCCGAGCCCCCGACCACCAAGGTCTTCGGCGTGTCGAAGGTATCGCGAACTGGCGGTGCTCGTCAGTGGAATCGACCGGGGTCTCGGCAGGACGCGTCACAAGGATCGTGGCAGGGTTTCAGAACCTTCAGACCTTCGCCGCGAGATACCCGAGTTCACTTCGGCATTGGACCCAGGAGAGGCGGTCGCAGGCAGCCCAACCAGCTCTCCAACCGTTTCGGCGGTTTTCGCCGAACAAGTCCGGAGTCTGCTGGAGTGGCACCGCGTCGGATCTTCTTCCCCGGCCCGATCGCCTCCCGGGCTCCAGTCCGACGGCAGCTCGCCAAGAGTCGCGGCGCGTGCTTCCGCGCTCCCCGCCGAGCTGGTTGGCCGTGCCGGGACGCCGAGGTCCGCTACTCCTATATCCACTCCACCAACAGCTGCGTGCCGTTCGAGTTCCGCGGATGTGGAGGATCCAACAACAACTTCGCCACGTTCTCAGAGTGTAGCAACCTGTGTAAGGCGCCTCCGGTTCAAGGAGTTGGCCCACGTCGGGCTGCGCGGCGCTGCCGACTACCCTGGCAGGCGGGGCCTTGTCGCGGCTTTGGTCCGATGATGAGGTACTTCTACAACGATCAGAAGGCGGCGTGCGAGCTGGCGCTCTACAGCGGCTGCGGAGGGAACACCAATCGATTCGTCACGCGGCACGCATGCGAAAGGACGTGCCTGCTCGGGTGATAGGGTCGCCGGAAGGGGAGGGGAAAGGAATGTAATGGTTACCTCAGCTGCGACTCTGAGAGTTCAAGGAAAATAGTATGATGCATTGGAAGATTTGAGAGTTAAAGGTAGGAGGACACTTCATCAGAAGTGTTCTGAAAGATATGGTAAAATGTGAACGGCGTTATGGCGGCAATTGAGTTTCTTTATGTTTTGTTTATTGCGGGAATCACCAACATGGTTATTACTTAGGTACTGGGCATGTCTAGTCTCTAGACCGACAGGACAAGCGAAGCTGATAGATTAGACGTTACCAAGTGGTGATGTCTCAAAAGGAAGTCTCTATTTCATGTTGCTGTTGTCTGCGTTGGGTTGGGAAAATGTAGGGTATGGCGCAGTATTCCAGTGTTTGTTGACTTCGTGCCATTGCTTGTTTGACTTCGATTCAGACTGACTTGTTGTAAATAACTCGCACGATATGATGAGCCATGTTTCTTTTTGCATCCCGGCTTATTGCAAGGTGTTTGTGTGATATATTGTGAGTGCTTGTCATGTGCCCAAGAATGGACTTTTGTCGTGGATGACAACGCCTATCCAGTCACGTATTTTGACGTTCATGTGCTGTTCTTACGCCACTGGCGAAGTTGTTATGATGTGACTAATTTGCGCACATCGTGGCATTGCAGCAGCCAGCAGTTGTTGTAATACATATATGTTTTTGCACAGTGCTTGCTTTATATAACCCTAAAAGGTTTGGTGGCAAGGTCATTGGCACAAAATGTGCATATTTGTTGTTTTATAGTGAGGAACGAAGGAAGACTTGAATGCCCTTGTTTAAAGGCAGAGGATTATAATCAACCCTTCTTTCTTTCAGTAGCCTGTGAATGGCGATAAACCTGGCATCACCTAACTTCTTTCGTTACCTATACCTATTTATGTAATATTTCCTCTCTTATTTATCTTTCGGCATAAT